AGTTCGTGTCCTGAATTCTGTGCGTAACTTCACTACTACTACCTCCATTACCATTACAAAGACGCAATGTGCCACCGAAAGTCAATTCTGCCGGTGTGGACTGAAGAACAGCTTTTAAGGCTGATTTGCAATCTAAGAGGACTAAGGGTAAAGACTCTTTCCAGTCTGGGTTCGCCTGTGCTGCCAGAGCTCTTCTCAGTTGTCGATGAAAACGCTCGACCATCCCGTTTGCTCCCGGGTGGAAAGTGGTCGTCTGGACGCGGCGAATGCCTAGGTTGCTTAGTAGTTGTGCGAAAATAGCCTCGAAGTGAGAACCTCGTTCGGTTGTAACTACTGCAGGACAATCTTCGACGTTGTTCCACACGAAACTATCAGTAATGAGTTTCACTGAGGCGCGGGTGTCTGGGTATGACAAATTATGCAGTGTCTCAAAAACCGTTTTGCGCAAGGTCGATGGGACTACTGGCCTAGGGTGACCTAAAGAGACGTCGCAATAGACTTTGTTGTCTGAGAACGGAAGTGATAGATTTTCGATGCGGAGCGTGAATTGCTTGCACAGTCACTCGATGCCGGTGTCGCCGATTTGCGCCACGGCTATTTCCTGTAAGTCTAAGGCTTCTGGGTAAGAGTTATCCAAGTGATGGATGCGTGAGGGGGCATCCACAACAGGTTTGTTGACACCAGAGATACGCCGTACATTGCACGTATACTGTGTGATGTAATCAAGGTGTCGTGACTCTCGTGGAGAGTGTCTGAGACCTAATGGCGTGAGTGNCGTGAAGTCTCATCCTTCGAGAAGATGGCGGAAGTGGCGGATACCGAGGTACATTGCCAGGAATTCCCGTCCAAGAGCGCTGTACCTTGACTTGGTTGCCATTCCTCTCTCACTTTTTGTTGGAGGACGGCGCCAACTGCGTGGTCGGACGCATCGGTGACGAGTACTAGTTTGGCGGAGGGGTCTAGGTGAGTTAATGTTGCGACGTTGCTAATTCCTCGTTTCAACGCATCGGAGGCGTCTCGAGCGGCTTGTGTGAACATTAAGGTATTTGCTTTACCCCTAAGTAGATCAGTGCGTGGCTGTATGACCTGCGCACAAAGAGGGATGAAACGGTGATAAAATTTAACTAAGCCGTTGAAACGTTGGAGCTGCTCCAAAGTAGTGGTCCCCGGGTAGTCAATTACCACCTGAATTTTGTCACTTAGTGGCTGGATACCGGTGAACGTGACGCGGTGGCCGAGGAACTCAATGTTGGAGGCACTGAGGACGCATTTTTGTGCGTTGATTGTGACACCGTAATGTGCAAAACGGTCAAAAAGTGCTCGGAGGTATGACAGATGTTCCTCACGTGATTAAACCAGCCACTAGTATATCGTCTAAATAAACAGAGTCTAAACCTATACAAACGTTGTCCATAAGACGCTGGAAAGACCGGGCTTCTTTGCCTAGACCGAAAAGCATACAGAGGAATTCGAAAAGCCTAAACGGTGTTTACGATGTTTCGGGGTTGTTGGAAGCTACCACCGGTATCTGATTGTATGTGCGAACCAGATCAGAAAAGAGTTCCACCTGCTAGGTCTGACGTGAGATCCGTGATGTGGAGGGTCGGGTACCTTTTCGGGGTTGTCACGCCTTTTNACGCCTTTTAGCGCATGATAATCCCCACATTTACAACAGTCGTTGGACAACCATTTGGAACCATAAGGACTGGGGACGCTTATAGACATTCGGAGGGGCGCAGGATGTGCTGAAACACTGCGCGTGCTTGCGCAACATATCGGTGCTAGCCGACGGGCACATGTGGTGACAGTGTCAACCCCTTTCCGCTCATGTACCTTTTCCATCTTCCGGACCTTGTTGTTTTACCGGACCAAGATTACCTCGTTGGTCACGGTACCTTGACTTTCACTTTCTGCACGCTTACTTACCTGTACGCTTCTCTCTACTCTCCAGCCCATTACAATACAACTGTCGTTGAGGTTTCGTGATATCAGTCGCTCTACTTTGGTTCGTTATCTCGTCCGCTGTCAGACGAACAAATTCGTGGACGTCATTAGCCCAGAGACTAAATTGGTGAGCCCGACGTGATATTTTTACATTTTTTAGTTATCGCGCATTTTAGTTTCGTTATTACCGTTGCATTATTCCACTTGTGTAACCCTTTTGATTATCATGGATGCAACCGTAGATACATTTTTACGACTTTTACTGAGTGAGACATATACATTGTGCAACTTTTTTTTATATTTTCTCATCACTTGTGTACATAATGCAAAACTCAGTAAGTGACGATCAAGCCTGCGCAGAAGTCAACATAAAGCAGCAGGATAGCCCCCACTTTGATATTCTAGTGGCTAGAATCCCGGACTTCATCCTCAAAGACCCGGAGTTTTGGTTAGCGCAGGTGGAAGCACAATTGCGGCTGTCCTGTGTGTCCAATCAAGTCACCAAATTCACAAAAATCATGGGACATATCCCACGCTCCATGGGTTCTGGCTTAAGGGACGTAGTCTGCAATTGCTCACCCGATAGACCTTATGACGCATTGAAAGATGCGATCATCAACCGTTTCAGCATGACGGAAGACAACCGTCTCAAACAGCTACTGAACTGAATCCGTCTAGGGGATAAGGGGCTACACACTCCCAAGCAGCTGCTCAGCTATATGAAGAGTCTATCTTCTAGCTCACACGTGAGCGAAAACGTACTTCGTATTTGTTGGATGCCAGAATACGTCACGACTTTCCTTAGGGTATTCGCGAATAAGCCTTCCCTAGACGAGCTCGCAGAGGCAGCCGACAGAATTTGCGCACACCCCCCGTCGGCTCCACCAGTCACCCGCGTACTCCCAGACTCAAACGAATTATTCGTGAAAGGAAGCCAACGACCAAGTGAATTGGCGCTTGGACGAATAATTGATTCAAGTAGCCTCAATTAAAATTTCCCACGATCGGCCGCGTTCTAGATCGCGTTCCAGTTCCCGCTCTCGTTCCTCCTCCCATCAGCGATCCCATAGTGAAAGAGACGTTCTAGGTTACAAAGCATGTCTTCGGACGTTTGCTGGTGCCATCGCCAATATGATACCGCAGCCCGAAGATACACAAAACCTTGTAGCTACAAGCCATTGCAACAGGTAAACGCCTGAGCCGACCGGCCCAGGCGGATACCGTTTCGGGTTTAGCTAAGCCAGGTCGCCTATTCTACGTCACAGACGAGGTCACTGGCACAAGTTTTCTAGTCGATACCGGTGCCAAGGTTAGCATTATCCGCCCTCGTCCCATCGATCAGCGCTATTCATGGACTGTTTAGTTGGTCGCAGCGAACCAAACCCCAATCAAAACCTAAGGCCAGTGTTCACTCACAATGAACCTCGGAATTCGCCGTCGTTTTCCATGGGTCTTCATCATCGCTGACCTTCCGCAGTCGATTATTGGCATTGATTTTCTCCGTTATTTCAACCTCATGGTCGANCCGTCTCACAACTCTCGAGGCGATAAGCGCCCGACACGCGAAACATCCGTCAGCCCCATCATCTACCGACCGTTAGAAGAAGATCGGTTCCACACGGTTCTCTCCGAATTCCCGGAGTTACGTAGACCGTCGAACACTCTTTCACAGGTCATCACTGATATGGTGCACCACATCGTCACATGGGGTCCATCCGTCCACTGCCGTCGCAGAAGCCTCGCCCCAGACAGAGTTAAAGTCGCACGGGCAGGATTTCAGCATATGTTAGACCTCGGAGTCATACAGCCCTCTTCCAATCCATGGACCTCACCTTAACACATGGTTCCGAAAACGTTCACCGAAGACTGGCGTCCCAGTGGTGACCACAGGGCCCCTAAACAACATCACTACGCCTGACCGATATCCAACACCACTGATCCAGGACCTGACAGCAAGCTTAGGAGGGTGTAAGAGTTTTAGTTAAATTGATCTCGTTCGAGCTTACAACCAAATACTCATGCACCCTGAAGATGTCCCGAAAACCGCTGTAACTACGCTTTTGGATCTCTTTGAGTTTCTGCGTATGCCTTTCGGTTTGAGAAACGCAGCTCAAACTTATCTGCGTTTCATAAATCAATTATTTCAAGGTCTGGACAACATCTTCGTTAATTCAGACGACATTTTGGTCGCTAGTCCAACGCCTGAGAAACACGACCAACATCTACGCGCTCTAGAGAGGTGTATAATAGAGGTAGAAAATAAGGGCTAAGTATAGAACTTCTAGAGAGGTTGGGAGGAGAGTGTATAAAGAGGAGAGGAAGACGTGGATGGTGGAGGTTTAGCAACAAATGGGTAGTGATCCTGAGTCAACTGTATTCAAAATGTTAGCTCAGTCTCAGCCCCCCTCGACCACCCTGGTCTATACCATGTCTACTCTGCGTTTGAAGTCTGATGTCGAGTTGGCAGCAATGACTTCATTCCAGTCATTCACAACTCTCGTTGCAAACGTGGACGCTATCAGGTGAGTCCTCACTCTACCTTAAACCAGGTCTAGAGTGTGCCTTCTCAGGTTCATTGTTTCACTGAGCTTGAGCAGCGCTTCATTTGGAAAGTCCATAAATCCTCTCAGGATTTTGTTTGCTTTGATCAAGTATCCGCGTCGCCTACGCCCGTTCAATGAGGAAAGGTTTAAGGCTTCGAGACGCCTCTTGTAAGATAGATGTCTTAAGCCCGCAAACCACTTGGTGAAGCAACGCTGCACTGATTCTGGCGTTTTATGTCCTGAATCAGGTGTACTGCGTGGAAAGTCCAGAGGTCTACCTAACATTGCTTTGCTTTCCACTGCCGAGGTGAGGCCCACGGCGAATTTATCTAGTCTCTGCTTGAAACACGCTGTCGTAGACGCAGAGACCACTATCTCAGGTAATGAGTTTCAAGCGAATGTGACCCGGATGGACAAAAGTAACCGTTTACTATTGGTACTATTATGCTGGTGCACGTTGGTCTTAGAGCGCCCTCACAGTTGACGGTGCGGTGATAGTGCTATTAGTCTTCTGTTCGGGTGACTCGCCGTTGATAATATTTTTCGTATCAATATTAAGTTTCCTCTTAGCCTTCTGTAGGAAAAGGTGAAGAGGTTGAGCCGCTTAAGTTTATCTTCGTAGCTCAATTGCAATAGTCCGATTACTCTCTTAATGTCTTCTATGAGCCGCTTCCAGTGATTTTGTGTTTCCTACTAAAGTTGGGATACACACTTGAATATTATATTCAGGTCTCTGGCTATGTTTACTGTAGGTATGTGTTTAGACTGGTCCGGGGGTTCCAGTGTCCTGCCGCCATGCATGCTTCCATTTCTGACCAGCTGTTGACATTTCAGGATATTCAGAGGCATGTTCCATTTAAATGAAGTTTCACTGAGTAGCAGTTAGGGTACCGTTCTTGCAAACAATCAGATGAAGAAACCAGTCAAACATCGTCATCACTCATTTTAGTGGAATAGAACAGAAGGATAGGAGATAGGTATCGCTTCGGAGCCGACGAATGTCTAATGATATTCTGCATCAGTGTCATTGCTTTGGTTGAACCGAGATGATTATTTAACGTCATGACTATTCAAAAGTTCACAGTCTTTTTGGCCAGGTTCAAGGACAGAAGTCTTTTTGCTTTTTGCATGGTTTTGCTGTTTAAGGTCCAAGCCAATTTTGGGGTTCTATTTCTATCTTTTATTTGGTGAAATAGATCTTTGCTGTTTAAACTTGCAATTCATTGGGTAATGCTCTGTTATACAGTTGCAAACCAGTATGGTAAATGTAGGAAATATGCTACCAAAACTGTTCATGCTATCGCTGGCGTCTCTTAAACCATCACGGATGCACGAACTTATCTAGGAAGGCATACGAACTGAATACAAAACACCTTCTCAAGGGTTAATTAAGACCGTTAGCTGGGAAAAAAGTGACAGGGGCCTGCACAAGCGAAAGCACCTGATACCCATCTGGAGAAAAACCAAAACCAAAACGCTCACGAAGCAGACCAGTCAGTCTATTTTAGGTCGGGCGAAGAACATACTGCTCCATAAGTGCGCTGAGCCCACGATCAGAGATAGTAGATATCGCCATGAGGTGGACCGCGGGCACGTACAAGATGTTCTTCGCCTAGTGGAAATGACCTCCGCAACGAGCACTTTAAGGTGTTACAGGGTGAGAATATGGAAGGGAGAAAAGCCACTCCATCCATGAACCTACTGGTAACCTTCGACAGCATGCATGCTGGGATATGCTACTGTCCAGGGCCGTAGTCGTAGAAACTGTCATTAGGGGGACTCAGCAAGTACCTCGGACAACGGTGCACCGGTTTGCAAACACACTTTCCCAACCATAACAAGACAAGCGGAGATTGCACTTCACAAACACCAAGTCAAATTACGAAGAATTTGGGAGTTCTTTGAAGCTTAGGTAACAGTAAGCAAACAAGACCTAAAGAATACTGCCTTAAGCACAACCAAATTTTCTAACAAGCGGCAAGCATTACCCCTAAGTAGAGGGGCGCCAAACATGAGCATTCGTACAGCGCGTGGGATCTCACGTCGAAGCTTTACCCAAAGCCAAGTGTACCAAGGTAGCTTCCAAGCTTATCGCTCCAGCCCCAGATCCTGAGGATGATCCTGAGTAGTTGAAGCCGGCCGCAAAAAATGCTACAGTAATATGACGCAGGGAATACACTGCAGCTGATAAAGAGGTGTCGCATAGTAGAGAACCTTTGAATAAGCTTCAGAACGATATTTAAGTCTTAATAGTTCAAGCAAAGAAACAGGAAAGGAAACTGGCGGAGCTACAGCAAGAGTTGAGCCAGTTAACCAAGAACATGCTAAGACTGAAGGCCAACAG